TTAACTGCAGTTCAACAAGGTTTCATGAGTCTTTTCTTAAAACATTTATTACCAGCATGAACATGTTCACATCAAATAAATGAATTGTGTCAACACATCTTCAACTTCTTCTATTGCATTTTTCAACACTTTGTCCCCATATTGAGGACACATCCGCCACCAGCTGAGGTAATTATTTCAAACTCCCTTTAACCACAATGTTGTAAGATCTGTAAAGTAAAAATGAAAATGTTCTGTGCTGGTAACAAATGAGTAACTTCACATTTAACTAGCTTTGTTTTCAGTTTTTGTTCGCTTCATTTGGCACCCATGAAACTATTCAATGGTCTTATTACTTTTTGAAGACCATTTTTTTATTACTTGGCCACAAATAACTGCATTACTGAATTCAGATTTTTAGTTAAAACATCAACAAGAGCCAAAACCAAATTCTACCTCCCAATATACAGTGCTAATCACCAAATAGATTAAAATTTTTCATAACAGAAATTCTTTCTTCATCAGTCATACTGGTGTTATGAAATCTTCTAGCTATCCTTTTCATATCACCATTTTGAAGAGTTTATGTTTGCTTTCCTATTGTCTCTGCACACACAATTATATTCTTCCTACCTTGTAGTATTTGACTTGACAACGGGGTCCATCCGTGACCCACTCTACAAACAGATGCTCTGACGAGGGAATTATCATCAAATTCTTTGGAGGATTAATTTTCGCTGAGGAAACATGTAGTAATCATCACAACATAGAAAATTATTAGTATAAACACATGCATATTTACATTTATGTTACTTACTTATGCTATATGGATCAAACACATAGGGGTCAGAGACCGTCTCCCCATATTGAGTTTTTGCACTGACTTTAATAGTAAATGGGTTAGAGAAGTATATATAATCAACTATATGATCTGGATTTCCAGAATGTGTGCAGTTGTGTGTGCAATTCTCTACTTGTGACTCGCAGATTTTCTCTGAGGAAGCACTACAGAAAGAAGAAATATGTATTAAAAATAATAATTTAACAACATTTAATTGGCTAAATGAAGACATGCTTGACATACGTAAGTATGGTGTAGTTTGCTGTTTGTTGAGAATCCATACGATGCTTCCAAGAACATGTGAAGAGTTTAGGCACGCCGTTCGGCCCATTTGCATTATAATGCAAGACACATGTGATATTTTTAGGCTTTGCTGCAAATGAAAAGAGAGGTAGAGAGTATAACGTCATGGCAGGAATAACGAGCAATACTAATCAATGAAATAGAGATTTTATGTTACAATATGTCCTTATGGTGACGCCTCCCAAGAGCTGATTCCCATAAGAGCTATGACACTGCACAGCTGCGCTTGATTGAGTGACGTTTCTCAGTGACAAGACAGTGTGTGTTGCGTTTACAGTTTTTGACAGGCTTTCGTTGATGGTTTTTCCGTTCAGTGTCCAGAAGATTTTGCCAAGACTTGAACATGACGTTTGGCACACTATCTCAACACTGGAGTCCTCTTCTATGTACAAATCTTTAGGGAAAACGTTACAGATCACATGCTGGCCTGCAGGAACAACAAATAGAAGGAAAAGTTCACTTGATGATTCCCATAAAATCTTTAGTTGTTCAAACTAAGCACAAAACCTTATTTATGTTTCTCTGTGTGTTTTTGAAGACAGTTTTGAATATTTTTTTTTGACTTTCCTTTGAATGTTATATTTTGAATCCCCACTTGTTTATCTGATCCTGGATTTAATGTGTCTCCTTTGTTTTAAAAAATTGTTGGTGTAAATCAGAACAAAATATATTAATGTTTACAGTGGTAACAGAAAGAAACACGAACAAGCCCAACTGATGGGAAGACTTTTACAAATCACTGTGTTACATCAACGACATATGAAATACTAATTAAACATTGGCTACACCAATTCCTAATTTTGGATCAATACCAAAACCTCCTAAGTCAAATACATTATTGGCAATAATTGCAGAAATTTACATTTCTCTAAGTAATTAGTGAAATTAAGTTCATAATTTTATTTACACAGTTTTTATTTGTACACCTTCTTTGCACTTCATTACCTAAAGCTCAGATTTGCACGAAGCAAAGACAAATTATTTTAAATGTGACTGTGCCTTTCACTTTCATTTGCGTTCCTAAGACAGAGCTTTGTTCCTGGCTTGTGGGAAACGATACAGACTAACCCCCAGAGGATTTACATAGAGATAGAAATCTGATAGATTCTCAGACAGAAAATAATAATATGAGTGGTGCCAAATAAGCTCCAGTCCACAATTCCTATGTGTGAAGTTTCTTTTCCTACTTTTTTGACCTGACTCCTGGTCAGCTGCCAATAGCAATGGAAAAAGTAGTATCTTGCTTCATTATTTTTTTGGAAACTAAAAGCCTCTGTGCTGCGTTTCCAGTCAAAGTGACTCAACTTTGTCTGCTGCAGCTCCATTGGCAACCCCCATGCAGTCTCTACCTTAATATTCAAGCGTCTAGAAAGTTCAAATATTTGTCATGTTATAACTAGACTTCAATATATCTTATTGGGATTTCACATGGGAAAAAAAACAAAACAAAAAACACAGCAGTTTTGCCAAGAACCGAGTCAATCACAGACTTGATTTGGGTCACATTTTGAGATTTTCTTTTGAAAAAGTATTTTGAAACTACATCACATCTATAAAATCATAGAAAATAAAATAAAACGTGAAGGAGCATGAACACTGGTACTCTAGAATGAGATGCAGCTTGTAGACATTTTTTGTAAAAAAACGCCACCACACAAAAACACACTTTCTAAAAAAAAACTGATATTTGAATATGATAGATAGATAGATAGATAGATAGATAGATAGATAGATAGATAGATAGATAGATAGATAGATAGATAGATAGATAGATAGATAGATAGATAGATAGATAGATAGATAGATAGATAGATAGAAATCTGTCAAACGACTTGTTAGCTGATTTTTTTTTTTTACATAAATAAATAAATAAATATGTACATTTGAAAGTTTTTCCTACCTTTGACAGGGAAACAGTCGCACATAGAGAGAAAGAGAGCCGCAACCACGAAAATCGAAAACAAGGACATGTACATAATTCCTCCTTATGTGCAGTTCTCGTGGAAATCGTCGGTGAGAACTACAACAATAAAACAGATCAAAGCACTTGAGTCACATGTTCTGAGGCTGTTACAACAGATTGCAACCGTCCACAGAGGCGCATTTACTCCACCCGCTCTAGATGTCAGCTAACAGGAACTAAAGCAAACCCTGAAATAAACGGGAGGCATTACCTAACTGGAAACGCTGCAGAGGAAAAAGAGGAAGTGAAGCAACTTGCGGACAGTTTCCAAACACTCAAGACAAGACCTCCCTCACTGCATTGTCGATTGTATGAATCACATTTGACTTTCTCTGATTAATACTAATAATAAATCTTACTTGCAGTTATATTTGGCTGCAAATTAAATGCGGGGAAAACATTGAAACATGAAGCAACTGATTTCATATTCTTTACTGGACAAACAGAAAGAAATGGGTTATTTTATGCACTCAAGCAAAGTTTTGTTCATCGTTTATTCACTCTACTTAACGTCATGCATTGCAACATGACACTCAGCAATGTTCCAAATTGAACACACGATTGATATTCAGACTTAATTGTTTTTCTTTGTGAAGTTCTTGACTCTAACAAATAGATCTGTTATTATCGATCATCAGCTGAGGTCCATTCGACTGTCAAGACTTGAGCTCTAAAGGTTAAACTTAATTAGGAAAATAAACAATAGAAAAAGCATTATGAAATTGATCTGAGTCAGTGATTCCTGTTATTTCTGCTATTCGCCCGAACATTAAGCAAACTTTCGAAACGCTAGTATTTGTCATAATATTGTTGCTGTTTTTCTGAAAGCTATTGCTTTTGAGCGTCAGTTATTTGATTGTATAAGGTAATTAATAATTATTTTTCCAGCTTTAGCCTCGTAACGGCAGCGACAGAAGTTAAAACTCGCCTCAGTTTTTCCTAATGTTTTTGACACTGGTTCTCAGATAAGTGTACATAAAGGGGAAAACTGCACACTTAATCATTTATTAATATAATCATTTGGTCCAGTTATCTTAAGTAGCAGCATACAACGTCATGATAACGCATTTGTTTGATATGACCAGTACTTAAAGTACAGTGTTCATTTTGCGAGATTTTTTTTAAACGGAACACAATTTTTTTTTAAAACAAAAGGTTCGCCTCAATCAGTCGTCGGCAAGGCAAACTGAGCGCTGTGTGGGCGGAGTTTGAACTCCAATGTTCTGACAGCGAGGTAGGAAGTCATTTCATACAGTATACACAAATATGTCACTCTATATCGTGATTTCTAACAATGTTTTTTATTTTATTTTATTTTTATTTTTAAAACAATTGTGAAAATATTATATCATATAATAACAACAATAATAATAATAATAATAATAATAATAATAATAATAATAATAATAATAATAACTCCATCAAAATGTCCCCTTACTGACCTGATCCAAGAGAATATCATTTGCAAAAGCAAAGATGAATCCTGAGGATCCTAACAGATGATTCCACTCCCAGACTCTGTCCATAAACAATGTGACAAATGGCAGTCCTGGCATAGACGAACCAACACCGGAAAAAGTCCAAAAACGTGAACAAAGCTCTTGCTTTCGGTTGACATGAGGGAAACTCCTCCCTTGCTACTCGTTAAAAGTTCTACCAAGATCTTGCGCCGGCTAACTGTTAAGGAGTGTACTTAAAGTGTTGTGACCCGGAAGACTTACCCAGAAATACTCTGATTTTTGTTTTATTTTATATCTACTCATACGATGTTTTTGTTTATATATATATTTTTAAATATTGTTAATGAGCTCACATTTTTCAATACAATTCTTAATACAAAAATACGACTCTACAATTTTCACGTGGCATAATCAGCATACTGTCCGCCACTGTCATTTCCGGAGTAAATTTGTAACTCGTATACATAACATAAGGAGCTGTCCTTGATAACCGGCATGTCAACGGCCGTTATAATAGCCGCTGTGGTTGGCGGCGGGGTTCTACTCCTAATGCGCCGTCTCTTCCCCCGGCGGAAAGCAGTAAAGCTGCTCCAGTATCCGACCGACACCATGCGTGGAAAGACTGTGATAGTGACTGGGGCTAACAGCGGGATAGGAAAGGCCTTAGCCGGGGAGCTGCTGAAGCTTCGCGCCCGGGTCATCATGGCCTGCCGGGACCTGCGGAGCGCCGAGGACGCAGCCCAGGACCTGAGGAGCCGAGCGGGGCCAGAGCAGGGCCAGGTGGTCATCAAGCACCTGGACTTGGCTTCCCTACAATCTGTCCGGAATTTTTGTGAGGAAATCAACAAGGTAACGATATGGATGAATGTTTGTTGGTTCATTTACCAGCTGGCTTCCAGTACAGTCCACCTATTGTTGTGTTTAGTGAGTGTTGGAGCACGAACGTAGCACTGTCCGTGGTGCTGAACAAAAGAGTGACAGGGATCCGCTTATTTACTTACACATCAGAATCATTTCATTCGCATAGAGCAGTAAAACAGAAACTCAACCTTGTTTCTGATAAATGTAAAACTTACACATAAAATAAGGGGTAACTGATTCTGTGTATATTCATCATGTCTGATCAATATACATTAACTGATATGAGTTAGCAATTACTTTCTAGCAGAGAGCAGATTCCCATTAATTATAATAAGATGTTGACTTTCTGGTGGAGAAAGCCAGACCCACGCCATCACCCTGCCTACCCCACAGCTGACAGTGTGTTTAATTTTCTTAGTCTGAAAACATCAGATGTACATATGATGTTTTTGTAATATTTACCAAATGTACTTTGGGATTATTAAGATGTTCTTTTTTTATTTTTGGAAAATCTGACATGGTCTTTGTCTTCTTTTTGGCCAACAATGCCTTTATTGGCCAGTCAATTTCCTGTTCAATTTATTCAGGTTATTTGCAGTTGTTTATTGATTTGAAACATTTAGTTGTGACAAAAAGGGGGTAAAATATGTATTCTAGTGTACTTTTTGTAACTTTTCTTTCACTGGACAGTAGTTACCTCTCATTACCACTAGATGTTGTCAAATCTCAATTTGCCCCTATAAGGTATGTTGTGTTTCAGAAAATAGTATTTCTTCATTTTATTTAATTTGGAAAATTTATACTTTAAGCTTACAATACCAACCATGATATCTACTAAAAATAAATTAATAAAATTAGTAAAAATGTGAAATACAATGTGTTCTAGAAATAAGCAATAGGAGTAAAATTAGAAGTAGCCTCAAATCCTCTACATCTACATTTCTAGTACTTTTTTACCAACAGTCTAATTTAGAAAAAACTGTATATAATATATATTTCTTGCATACTTGTTAAGATGTATATAGTCTGAAATTGTAAAATCTAAAATATTTTATATGCTTTTGTTGTCAGGAGGAACCTCAGATTGATGTGCTGGTCAACAACGCTGGGATCTATCAGTGTCCCTACACAAAGACAGAAGATGGTTTTGAGATGCAGTTTGGAGTGAATCACCTGGGCCACTTCCTCCTCACTCACCTGCTGCTGGACCTCTTGAAGGCTTCGTCTCCCAGCCGCATTGTTGTTGTTTCCTCCAAACTCTACAAATACGGCCACATCAACTTTGACGACTTGAACAGCGAAGGGAACTACAACAAAGCTTTCTGCTATAGTCAGAGCAAGCTGGCCAACCTGCTGTTCACACTCGAGCTGGCTCATCAGCTCGAGGGCACGGCGGTCACGGTCAACGCCCTCACCCCGGGGATGGTGAGGACCAGACTGGGACGGCACGTCCAAATGCCTCTACTGGCTAAGCCGCTGTTCCACCTTGCCTCGTTGGTCTTCTTGAAGAGTCCGTTGGAGGGAGCCCAGACGCCGCTCTATCTGGCCTGCTCCCCCGAGGTGGAGGGGGTGTCGGGGAAGTGTTTCGCTAACTGTGAGGAAGAAGAGTTGATGGCCAAAGCTACAGACAAACAGGTGGCCAAGAAACTGTGGGACATAAGCAGGAGGATGGTTGGACTCGCAGAGTGACCATGGGGCCAGTTCTGAGGGCCGGACTGTTAGGGAATTAAGTGTTCTTGGACATCTTTGTTAATCCACTTTTGCTTGCAGACAACATTGTGCAAGAGAAGGGTTGTAGAAAATCCTTTTTTTTCCTCCCTGGGGATGAAAACTTTAATGGAAAGACATGTTGTGCCTCTGAAATGGGATAATTAGCAGACTCTGTGCTACATTACAGAACTGATTAGATCTCATATTATGATTTGAATTTTAAGAAGTTTCTGTTCAAGTAAAGTTTTAAAAGAACTTTTGTAATTATTTTTTCATCCAGGTAACTCTCGCCTCTTTATTCTCTTCACAAATCCCATATACTTATACTTTAGAAAGTCTTATGCACTATTCATACAGTACCTTGCCAAAATATTCAAATCTTTATCACATAACAAAGAAAAGCACTGATAGATTTTATGTAGTACAAAATACTGCACAATCCAGATTTTTTTGTTAAAAGTAAACCGTTTCTAAAAAATACAAATCAGAGAACTGTGACATGATTGTGTATTTATAGTGATTTGTTTAAAGCTGATATTCCTAAATAAATGACAACACAAATAATTGCTTTCATCATCATAATAAATAGGTAAGGAGTGAATTTGTGGGTAAGTTAAAAGCAGGGTTAGGTTTTATACTAATATCCCAAGCATTTAACATTTCAATCTGTCATCTGAAAATGGACGCAGCATAAAAATTCTAAAGAACTGACCACTCAACTGAGCTGACAAAGAATCATTCAGTGAAACAGCCAGGAGGCTTTGATAAATCTGGAGGAGCTGCGGAGATCCAAAGCTTTAGTGGGAGAATTTTCCAGCAGGACAACTGTTAGTTGTGCTCTCCAAAAATCTGGATTTTTTTTTTTTTTGAAAAAGTGGTACAGTAAAAATTAGTAGATGCAAACCACGCATCATGTTATGCTCTACTGTGACGGTCTATCATATATAATCCATATTCAATACAACAAATCGTGTGGCTCTGGTTTGATAAGATGTAGGAAAGAATACAAATACTTAAAGATCCTGCAGCAAGTATGCAAAAAGATTTAAAGATACCATCAGTCTAACTATGCATTGCTGAGGATATAATATTTTGTTCCTATATAGCATGACCTTATCAAAGTTCAGAAGCAGGCATCAGGATCAAAGGAACTGGACTCGGTGCGTTCATGAAAGGCGAGCTGAGCTGAGCTGTCACATTTACCTCAACGGCGAGGTCTCATTACTGCTTGTGCTCTTCAGATCCTCAGTTGAGTCTTTGTCTGTGTTCAAGTTGTGCGCAGCTTCACGTCGGTTTTGCACTGCAAAGCAAGAACAAGCTGAAAGTGGCCGTTTGAACCGCTCTCCCTTTAGTCCATTTTTAAGCTTAAACGGTTTCTGCTGCGTCTGTTGGAAGGCTGACGCTGCACCGAGCCACCTCTTGTGGACGTATTCAAACTTTACAAGTAAATAACTTTATTTTTTTATCTCTGCAGGAAGGCCGCCTAAAAGGACAGCCATCAACAACAACAATGAAACTACTGAACCACAGAAGCAATTAATTTACAAGGCTGTTACTTTAATGAGTTCTTCTTGCCCAAACCAAATCAGCCCATCAGTCGCCATCACACATGCCGTTTTAAAGCCGTTTGTTCCTTTGTGAATATAATGTAAAAATTTAGTTCAGTAATGATAAACTTCAGAATGTCTGGTACAACAGAATAAATGTTTCCTTTTAGCGTTAAATAAAGACCATTGACTCCAACTAAACATATCTACATGATCTGTTTTTCATTCATGTATCTATTGTTTAGATCAATAATTTAGGAGAAAAATGTGAATATATATTTAGTTTATGATATATAGAACATAAAACACTGATTTGAGCTAAAAAGTTGTGCATGCTTATCCTTTCACTTCCCTTTTCACTGCTTGTATTATAAATAATTTATTCTGTCTAGTTTTACTAGCAATAAATCTTACCACAATAAACTAGACTGGTGCCTGGGCGCTGCTTAGTAAGAAATACGCTCATGAGCTTTTCATTTTTAAATGAGAAAAGCACATTTCTGATTTAAACATCTTGGGCAAATCAATGTTGTCTTGGAAAAACAAATCATGGACTGCTACTTCCTTGTTAGCCAAAACAAATGACAAACGCAAAAAGGTTTATTTGTATATCCCTTTCAAGTGCTGAAATGTGAATATGCTCATATTCTTCTAATCACACTTCTGCATAATAACTAATGCCAATAGTGGAAGTAGCACTAAAAACTCTAAGTTTCCATTTATTTTTATTTATATTCTTATAGCTGCACATGTAGAGTGTATTTTCTTAGGGATTTATTCAATATAAAAATAGTGTATAATTTAAGCAGGAGGAAGGTGATACTTACTTTTTCTTTTTTTGCAAATGGAAAATATTACTTTGATAAACTCACGATGGTGTTGGCAGCATTACAGCAGCACACTTAGATTTAATTCCTCAAAAAAAGCAGGGGGAAAAAAATCAAGTTCAAAGGATATTAATACATTTGCAAGGCACTGTATACACCTGACAGGAATATAAATTACCGGGATCTGTCTTTGAATAACACAAAAATAACTTTCCTCTTTGTGTTGAGTTTGCTGATCTTGGCAAAAATCCATCCCTGCAACCCTGTTTTTAAATTTACTACAATGATAAAGCTGAGCATCAGGGTGACTCAGCATGGACTCGGATTCCTGCTGCAGGAATCTGAGTCTGAACGATAAAAAGACTCTGGCTTCACCCTGATCAGAAAACAAATAGAAATCGAACTGTTGTTACAGTACCTGTGAAAACAGAGTGATGTTGATGTCTTTGTCAGGCACCCACACTTGAAGTTATAATTTGTGCTTTATTAAGAGAACAAAACAACAAAGTATATGACCATGCATCATTGTCTAAGAAACAAACTTACAGAGGCTTAGGTGGGTGTGGGCGTCCAAATCTGAGGTAGAACGGGGGCAGGAGAACCTCTCAAAGAGACAACGGAAGAGCAAAAGAATCTAATAAATCAATACTGACCGCTAAGACAGATGTTTACATCTTAAAACATTCCATCAATAACAAGAAATCACACCCATCGATACTGCTAAAAATCAATTAACGGAAGAGAAATGTTCGTTTGTCATTCAAGGAATTAATTCGTAATCGATTTGTTCATTAAATAACTCCTCCAAAGGCCGAGATTGTTTCAGCTGAATGAAAATAACGACTGAAACAAATCAGTGCGCAGCTTACCTCAATTCAAATTTGAGCTTTCAGACATGGCACTGGCAGTTTTTAAATTTATTTACAACTTGCAGGATTATCAATAAGAACTGCACTTTTTGAATAAATTTGTTGCTAACAACTACTTATAAAATATATCACTCAATTCTTAGTTATTATGCTTTTTTTAGACATTTGAAATAAATACATACACATTCATATACATTTTGTCATGAACTCCTCTCTGTCTGTTTCCCCCTCAGTTGTGGCTAACTTCCCCAGAAATATTTGCAATCCTCTATCGCGTAATCATCTCTCCTAAATAATCTCCACTAGTTTCATCTTCGTGAACCATTTGGCTCCTGGCTGCTTTTCAAACCATTTTCAGCTAAATGGTAGCAGCAACATAACTTGAGCGCACCAAGGCCCTGTGTGTTTAGTGGAATCAAAGATTTCAGCCTCATTTGAAAGTCCTTCAGTTCAGCAGGGTTCCGTAAAGCTGGGCCTTTGTAAGACTGTCTTTCCTTGAAAGCCCCAAAGAGCCAAATTTTTGGTTGTAAGGAGGAGGAGGCGGAGGAGTCGGTGGTGGCTGCTGGCTCGGCTGCACAGGCATGCTGTGCATCTCGACCTGATAGTGCTGCAGCTCTGCGGCCATCTCCAGGGACCTCTGGTTGAGGGACTCGGTGGAGCTATTGGGACTGGGCTCAACGTACTCTGTGCTCTGGCCTCCAGCTGCAACGTTGCCCTCCCTGTCTTTGGAGCTCCCTGAGTGGTACAGGCTGTGCTCTGACCCCTGGCTGTCCTCACTTCGGTACAGATGGGCTTGGCTGTGTGCTTGCCGAAGTCCTGGGCTGCATTCGGGGCTGGCGGCGGCCCACACCGGATCCATGGCATCTGCACCATGGTGATAGTAGTCAGCCCCCTCCTGGAAGCTGCTGTAGAGCGGACCAAGGCGGATTTTGGCAGGGCGGACGGAAAAGTGCTGCTCTGAGAAGCTGTAAGGCGAGGCTCTGCCTGGACTGCGGTATGAGTGGGCGCTTAAGTCTTCAACACTAAGCTGTCTCCATCTACCAATCAGTTCTTCCTCCTCGGGGGCTAAAGTGCTGCCTCGGCGACTGTCTCCATAAGCGACACTTGGGGAGGAAGATGGAGGCAGAGGCTCGTACGGCTCACTGAAACATGAGGACATGGTGCGGCTGTAGACCGGCGAGCTGCCGTTCTGATGGTGGCTCAGCTCAGTCTGTTGGAAAGGATGAGCGTTCCCAAAGCTCCTTGGACTGTCCCTCTCCCAGGATGAGTCACTCTTTCTCTCATAGTCCCCCGCATCTCTCCACTCCATGTAAAGGGATTGATGACGTGGTGAGGAAGCTGCACTACTGGGTGGGTCATTGCCTTTATCCTCCGAGCCACCTCCACTGAAGCTGGAGTAAGAGCTGGAGCCTCCAGCCAGCGCTGCAGGGAACTTGGGAAAATGCTTCTGGGAGAACCCAGCCTGCAGTCCCACAGAGCCCTCCTCCGGAGTGCTGTCGGTCGAGTTCTGCGGTCCGTACAGGAACGTCCTGTGGCCGTGCACATCCATGCTTGGCCTCCTCTCGCGGTGACGGTCGTCGGGGCAGTACAGAGCCGTGTCACTGCTGTACAGATCGGATTTGTAGGCTGCTCTGAGCCCCAGGCGCTCTCCTGGCCCGAGTCTCTCGAGAATGAACGTATGGTTCTGGGTTTGGGGGCTGGGGGAACGGGACGCCTGGCTGCTGCTGCAGGCCTCATCTGGCTTTTCAAGCACGTTGGCAATGAGGGAAGTAGAGTCAGGGTAGTCGTGACAGAGAGGAGATTCTTCCAGATGCATGGTCAGGCGCTCTTGAAAGTCAGCAGGAAGCTGCAAAAATTCAAAGAAAAAGAGATATTTAAAGAAATATTTCAGATAGATGTGTTCAACACTCATGTATTGAGATGGTTCTCAATTATGAAGCCAGAAAACTTGGAACACAAATAATATTTAGTTTCCATACACCCACTAGAATTGTTATAATTAAAAAGTCTATCATGCTGAGCATATTAACAACTCCTTCAGGTTTACTGGAGGTCACACTGAGTAATAAGCATGGAGTTAATGCTATCAGGCTTTCGGGATCACATTGTCGAGTCGGTAATGTTCTGCATCATTCTGGTGTGTGTGTAGTTTTCCAAGGTGAGCTCAATTTGATGTTGCTAATAAATCATATTTCTAACAGTTTTTTCATCCCCTCTGGCACTTGAACGTGCTTTCTCCTATAGAGCACCTCCTGAAAGAGCTCTCCATAAATATTGACAGAACACCTTCTGGTCCAAACAAAATCAATATTTACATTTTTCCTTCTGTAATGAATTTTCTTCCGTGGAGGTTTCAGATCTTTAAAACATCCCCGTTGTATAAAGCACATCTTTTATCAAAGTGGCAGCAGCCTAAAAGCAAACTTTTAAAAGGCTTAGCCATCCATGCGTCCCATAGTGAAATTAGTATCTTTCACAGATCTTATTCGAATAGACATCTTGTTAGAAGAAGTGTGAGAGAATTTGGCATTGACTTTTCTATCTCTGGCTGTATGATGTGCTTTGTCACTAACGAATCAACAGTTGGTGTACTGGAACAAGAGCCAGACCCTTTGGGTTGGCCTGATGACCAAATATTCCCAAAATTTCTCTCACAGATGTGAAGATCATTTAAATAGACCTCTCTAACCAAGAGAGGTTAGAGAGGTCTCTAACCATAACTCTAAACCTCTGACCGTTTAGAGTTATGGTCAGAGGTTTGCATCCCTCTAACTCCTCTAAAACTTGGTTTGTCTTTGCAATCTCCATCTCAAATTGTAGCCACTAAGACATAGAGGGCATCATTTGGAACAACAAAGTGTTTCGATTTATTATTGTGAAGTATATGAACAACTCTTCTATGGTTATTTTCAACTGTAATTAAAATACAAAATGAAATAGATAAATTATTTTAGTGTATTTATGAGGTGGGACTCAGCAGGGTTGATGGATCTCCTATTCTAAAGGCTTAAGCACATCTATGGTGTGTGATGTCTTCCTGGTTTTGATCTATTGTCTTGCTCTTATTCATCTCATCACACTCCAGTGCAGTCTGTCCAACAATGTATACGAAGCATAGTTCCTCCTCACTCTGTGTTTTAGCTGTAAATATGCTTGTCTTGCTGATTGCGTTGACCCTCTGCAATCACTTCATTACACCTTCTATCTGGGAATCTCATTCATTGTTACATAAGTCTCTCAAAAGGGGGCCATGACTACCTTGCCTGGAGGCTCAAAGGTGTGAAGTAGCTGTCTTGTTCTTTTCTAAAAGCACAAAAAAATACATACCTCAAACTGAAGTGTTTTGTGAAAGATATAAATGATAAAACATTTTTGTCCACAATTACAAAAAGTATATCCTGGGGTGCCAATGATCACTCTTCTAACTGTCATTCTGTGGGACTCTTTCTCCTGAAAGAGATGAATCAGGCTGGGTGCCTGCAGGTTTCTCAACTTCATCTAAAATCAGTGAAAGCCTGGACATACACTGAAAAAACACATAATCTTAAAAAGGATTGTTTGTCTAATTTCTAGTACAAATGCCCTTGTACACTTAATATAAATCAAAACTAACTTGCAAGTCACTTTTCGCAAGACAGAGGAGCATATTTAAGTCAGCAAGTCCTTGATATTGATGAAAAAGTATTGTTTCCACTGGCAGAATATTTCTCTTTTAACATGGGAACAATATCTTGTTGTAAGTGAAATAATACTTACAAGATTGTTGTAAGTAGTTGCTAGAGCAGCTGGCCTTTTAAAATCAATATTAATAAATTACTGATTTCTTTTGATTTAAAACTGACTTAAAACAAACTTCTTTATCTTGCTGAAAAGTTACTTCTAAGTCAATTTTTGTCGTATTTCAATCATAGTGAAATATTTGCTCTAGAAAATGGGCAGAACTACTTCGTATGATTTCCACATTATTGCGTTCCAACAACGCAATAATCCTAAACAAATACTAAAACTGCCATCTGCCCAGAAGATGCCAGAACCTCGATGATGGCTATGGTACTGTCCATTCTGTCTTAATCCAGGATTAGCTATTTCTGTTTATGCAGAAAGTGTGTCAGTTTGTATATTTTATAACTTAAGCATTTACTCAGCTATTATTTGCAACAACTGTGTTCATGAATAGAAAGTTATCTTCTCCAGCTTCCCAAGAAGCTGAGGATATATTGTCCGCGAAAGACAAATAGAGTCACATTTCTCAGAAGAGAAAGCCATTGTTCTAATTTGAGATTTTCTCAGAATGAAAGCTTCCATCATCTGTCTGTAGCTCCCCATAGCAACAAGTAATAAGCTAACTGCAATGTATCATTGACAGCTATCTAGTCAGTTGTTCCTAAATGGCTAAAAGACAAAAGCTAATTATAACTTTTCATTTAGAAAAAAAAAACAATATAGATAATTTAGCAAAACATGAGGACAGTTTATCATAACAGTTTGATTGCAACCAAGCAAAATGCAGATTAATTACTGTCCACACTTTTTTTCTCTGCAAGTGCTTTTTTTTTTTTTTTTCTTTTTAAGAAGATGCCTCAAAGCTTATTATGTAGCTGTACTTGTTTTTGCAGCCAAACAAACGGCTAAAGCACTTTTGCGGGCGCTGAAGAGCGGCAGCACTTCTCAAAAATGCAGCTCCAGCATTCATCAATATTCTTTCAATTAGCTTCCACCCACAGGACCAGCAGACCGGTGGATGTCCAGAGAGAGCACACACGAACTCTGACCCCCCTACTGTTTGGCTGAGAGCTACTGTAGCTCAACTGTTTCTCACTTTATGAGAAACCTTTGCCAGAGCTCATGCTTCACTGCGTGGTTTACTCAAAATGTACAGTTGGTGTTTTATGAGTCTTGCGCAACCAGAATGGATTTTGCATTGATATTTTTATGCAGTCACATCACAGCATGCTTTAACCTTGTGGACATGCGCCAGCTTTCCCTGTGACATATAGGGAAAGGCACGAGGCCCACGGCTGATGCAGCAGAAAGGCAAGCCAAGCTGGTTGAGTGTTTAAAGCGCTCATCAATACTCACATGCACTCTTTTCACAAGCAACTGCAGGATTGTATGATGAGGCTGCAGTGGGCTCCCCAGCCGCATTTTGCAGCACACTGTAGTTTTTGCCTCAGCTATCCTTCACATTGCCTGACAATGTGCCTTGAATTAGTTCCCCTTCTGATGAGCACCTAACAAACCTTGAATATCTTGTCTTATATAGAGCTCCAATGCACATTACACAGTAGGGAGGGCAATTAAAGTCCTATGGGTTTAATTTTTGAAGCATAATTCAGATTTCTTTAATGAATAATCTCCAGCAACAAAAGTAGACAAGTAGCAGTGTTATACTTATTGTCATTTCTGGAAAAAATAATGAAGACTTGTAACAAATTCATCTTTCTCCAAAAAGAGATGGATTCCTTCAATAAAATCAGTGCAAAAAAAAAGACAGATTAAAATTGCTACTATAACCATTGCATGCGAACAAGGTACGATAACAGCATGTTTAGGAGGTATTCCAGCAAAAAGTCTTCTCTGTCCTATTATCACAATTTTAAACATGTGCAGTTGTTATACTCAAGTTGGACTGTAAATGATTTCATCATATCACACTATGACACTATTTATACTATATATAAAACACTAAAGTCTGTTTTGCAAAACATTTTTATCGTCAACCTGCAAAAACTATCTGCTTCTGGCCATGCATAAAACTGGACAGAATGCATAAAAGTGCTCAGCTGTGAGTTTTTAGAAGTGGAGCCGGCAGTGATGACAGGAGGTGTGATGCAGCACTGAACCGAATACTGGACTCTACAAATAAAATCTAAATCCCTCATTATTACTAAAACAATAGCGGCAGACAACATTAGAGTTGCAATTCTGGTGGAAAAAATGCATTACAAATTAATAATCTATGTGATCTTTTAATGCTTTATGTTGGAAATGTTTTCTAAGTCTTTTTTATGATTTCAAAACCTGCAGCTGTCTGGTCACACAAGCCATACATTATGATATTACTTCTTTGACCTCTGCAGCTGGTATGTCTTTACACAGGTCTAAAACCAGGTTGTAACTGCACTGCACCTGGCGATAACAGTTGCAAACTGACGTCAGCTCCCTCCCCACATCAGTCCTTTTGTAAAACTTTTGCAATGGCAAAAAGACACTTCAATCCCACAGTAAAGTGTTTTGAGAAAATGACTGTAGAAATAAATGTTTTGGCTAAGAAATACTCCTAATAAGTCTTGAGTGACTTGAATTATGAAAGTGCTTAAAGGATCCTCTTGCCTACTGTTAAGCATGGTGAAAGTTCTGTGATGCTGTGAGCCTGTTCTATACTAAAAGAGTGCATGACATCATAAAAAACTTGAAACACTGGGAGATTTTAAATAGAAAAACAAAAAAAAAAGAAAGGGCTTCCACTTGGTCCTTCAACAAGATAATATTTTACCAGGCACAAAATCAACTTTATTTCAGAGTCAGTTGCTAGAACTTACAAGATAAATCCCTGCAACTTTGTTAGATAGTATAAGAGAGGATTAATTGTTGTTCTATCGATAAAAGAGGGTTGTGCAAATTATTACAGCACAGATGTCGGTAGATGTTAACAAGTAAATAAATGTTCTGCCCTTTAACATTTTATGTCTCTAAACTTAAAAAAAAAAAAAAAAACTGCTGCAAAAAAGATTTTCATCTTTTTGGACCTTTATGGTTGCTTTGATAATTTAATGTTGTGAATCTTCCAGTAAGTATGTTTTAAATCCTCTTTATAGTTTGCTAAATTGATTACATTTTGTCTAAATTGTCCCCCCAACTTCAAGGAGTGATTATATTCAATCAAATCAGGATAGAATCAGCAACAATTAAGTGATGATTGAGCCATAAAGCACATAGGAAATCTATTTAATGTTTAGTAATAGAGCATTTACTGCAGCTGCCACTTTGATTGAAAACGCTTCATAGTCAAAACATTACTTGCTTTCAATTTAAGGGCTTCCATTTTGTGAGTTTTCAAACATCAATAATAACTTAATGAGCTTGCCAGTAATTATTTTTTTAAAATTACATACTGTATGTTTATCTCTTACAAGTGCACAACTGCATTGCTGTAGTCTAATTTTTTGGTGTTTCAGGTGATCCACAATGTTGAACAATGTTTCTCACAGCTAAACAAATCTAGGAGAATAGGAGCTATTGTCAGTACCTTTTCCAAGCCTTGGAGCTGTTTAATACTTTCAAACCTTGCTTCTTTCATCGCTCAGAGGTGAAGGTTATTCAGGCAAATAACCTTCAGCTTTAATTCTCCTACAGCACCTCAGTCGCTGCTGCAGCAACTTCCTGTTCATGTCCTTCTGCCAACTCTCTTATCTTTCCTGGCTTTCTCAGGGCAAAACGACCTTCTCATTACAGTCAAGACAGCAATTTCTTTTTTGCCTAAATTTCAGCCCGGCAGTACTTTTAAAACCATTCACTCATTCAATGCAGCTTAAATGGAAGTTTGCTTTTTTTCTCCTTCTATATCCACTCATCTGCTTGATGTCAAATGTCAGCACCAAAAGCTTTCTTTTTTGTTTTCCATGTGCATAAAAAGGGACAACGGTTTTAAACTGCATGAAAAACAGTGGGAGCTGTTAAAAATAGGTTTTGGGAGAGGGTAAAGGACAGGTGGTTCAAGGAAAGCTACAGGATTGAAGCTGGTGAGAGTGGGTGGAGGTCTCACCTCGGAGAGCTGGGCTCTGTACAGAGACTTGTTGCACTGCAGCAGCTGAACAGCCAAGTTACAGTCTTTTCTGTACAGCTCCTGCGGAGGCAGCACATGGACAAAACCAAGATAATAAAAATGAATTTGTATCATGTTCAGAGCTTTAATGAAATGTCATCTCCTCACTTTGCTCACTCCTAGGAAATAAATACTATTGCCACATCATAAGATTGGAAATGAAATATATTTGTTCGCTGCAATCTGTCTGAATAAGAGAACAAAACTCTGCAGCAAAGAATAGATTGTAATTCATGTGACGAACCATAAAGATAAAAAAAAGGAAACAATATTTTTCTCAAAATCTGTGTTAATTTTTTATATAAAGTGCCCTCCACATTTATCAGCACCTCTGTAAATTTTTTTTTTAAAAGCCTTAAAACAAATTCAGCTCTGATTTCTGCAACATAACCATATCCTGTAAATAAATGCTATAGTTGGTGGAAGTATTTTCAGTTAAGCTTAGACATAATTGAGAATTTGATTCTTCTACATGCGAATACTTTTATTGGGCACTCAAGACTCATAGACTGATTATTACTGCAGTAGTACATTCTGATTGGTCAACTTTTTACAGACTTTTTTTCACTGCCAAAGCCAGAGTAAAATTTTTGAACAGAACAATGTCTGTTTTGTTTTCTGTGAAGGTAAATGAGATCCAACTAAAATGTTAAACTTACATTGTCCTCTTGCAGCTTCTCAATGGTGAGCTTGGCCTCCATCAGATGGTTGTTGAGGACGATGATTTCTCTGCTCAGAGCTCGTTTTTCATCTTCGTGGTGCTGTGACTTGACAAGACAGATTCATAAATTATATGTAACAATTTTTGAAATGTTAGAAGATCAAGAGCAGATAAAATGAGTAGCTTCATAATGGGCCACGATTGCATTATTTTGGATTATATTGTACGTTTAGAGAAAAAAAAACTGAAGTTAGAGGTTGTTTTTTTCTACTTGATAATGCCTTTAATGCAGCAATAGGGACAGAAAGAATGGATTTTGTCTTTTAATGAGGACATATGTGACTACATGAATTCGCCTTGGGCAAAAGAGCTGCAGCAAGCGAGCCACAAAATATGCTGACAGGGTAACACTTTTTAAAACACCCATTATTTGGACAGGCAGCCAGGAAGAACAGGTTCTTTCAGGGTCAAACAAGAAATAATCACAACAATGCCTAATTCCAGCAGCCTTTCGTCCAGAAAAAATAAAAATTTCACAGACTAACACAGATAAGAAGAGCTTTTCAAAATAGGTTTGCATGCTGCAATGTTGAATGATAACTCATTTATCTACATAAAATAATCTACAAGTGCTCTAAAGTAAAAACAACAACAACCCCAAAAACAAACTGAGTGGATTGAGAAAAAAAGGAAAGCACTTTGCAAATGGCAGCAAGGAATGTTACAGCTGAGCACTTTTGGCCATTAGGCTGCAGGTTATTCATGGACCAGCATGTCAGTGAACTTTCTTTTCTCAGAGGAAATTATCTTTTAAATCTTGCATTTCGTAACCCTCTCAGGTCATTAACTGAAAGAAGCTCCCCTGATGCCTCTTGTCCTTGCCACTAATACAAATGCCTCACAAAAGTGTTCAAGCCCCCTAAAATGTTCTACATTTAAGTCACTATTGAACCACACAATTCAAACTAGGATAATACATGGCTTAAATGTTTCACAAATTAAAATGTAGCTTGAATGTATGTTCGGTCTACTGTAATTTGTTATCTCTGAACAAAATTTGGTACAAGCAAATCAATTTCATTGCAAAATAGAAACTTCCTAGGTGAAAGTTAGGCACACTGCATAACTAAATACAAGTGTTTTGTAAAGGAAGCAGAGGTTTGTATGAGAACATCAGTAAACTAACAGTGCCATAAAGACCAATGCAGACAGCTCAGAGATAAAGTAACTCTGGCAGAGCTGCAGAGATCCACAGCTTAGGTGGGATAATTTGCTGACTAGTTGTGAACTCCACAGAGAAAGTCAGAAGAAGTACCAACACCAGGTTGAACATGGCATGAGATCAGTGCAAACATATGTTGAAAGGTTTTCTGAATAGGTGAGATCAGAAATGAACTTTCTGGACAATTTTTACTGATACACTCATATTTTTTTATTTCAAATCTTTCAGATGGGGGGTTTGCAGAGGCTCTTGGTGCTTTTTTTCCCCTCTTATCCTGCTATGTGCAAATTGTTTGTTTTCATGAGTATTTTCATTGCTCCCAATACTAAGACTAAGCCAAAAATAGCAAAACTATATCTGAAATGCTACATGTGGAAAAACTCATCCTCATGATTCTGTAGAGATTGGTGGTGCTAAAAACAGAATGATCATGGAAACTTTTATGTAAAAATAAACATTCCATGAGAAATTAAATACAATTATTTTAAAGGTAGTTTAATCAACTGAGACACAGGCTCACAAGCAATTTATTGATGTCAAATGTCAGGATGCTAGTCAATTAAATTTCATATTAGTTAAGATAATGAGAAAAGTTGCAAGGATTATTCTTTTTTCCCTTTCCTTTTATGTAGGAACATCAGTTTCTTCTTTTTCACTTTCAGCTAAAGTAATGTGAAGTCCCTGTTGAGGGCCGAAAGGGCCACTTCAGGCTCTAGGACCAGAGATTGAAGAACCCTGGGTTAGTGTAGTAAAATCCTAGCTGTAAAGATGTGGCAAGACTTGAAAATTGTTTCTCCGTCCCGTTCTACTGATCTTGAGCAACCACATAAGGAAACACCCCGTAAAAGCCCTGCAGTCGTAATCTGCAATGAAATGAAAAATGGCTGTAGCATTAACTAAGGTAGGCTGAATGGAAAAACGCATGGATTGTTGACTAAAAATGTCAAAAACCACATACAGCATGTGCTTTTTCCACTTCATAATTATGTGCTGCTTTGTACGCATCGTGGACAAATGTATTTGAATAGAAACCATTCGTGAACACAAGTTTTTTCATTGGGTTCAGTTTTGCCATTTTCGCTTGTTTGGAAAACTAAGAGGAAAAGAGGCTTGACTCTCATGCTTATCTGTCTTGTAATTACATTCTCTGTAGTTGTGCGGGGCCCAGAGGTCAGCTGGGTTTGTGGCACCTCTAGAGTAAACAAGTTTTACGATTGCAGAGAGACTTACTCAGCACCTCTATGTAACCCTGAAGGAGTGTATGTACGTGGGATGAATCTGGAGCAGCACATGAGAAAATGTCTGTTGGTAAAAACAACAACAACAACAACAACAAAACATAAAGAAAAGCAGATTGCCTTTCTTTTTGAAATGACAATTTTAGGGTAACCTTCAGCTGCGTGGGTGTGTGTGCGTGCGTGTGTGTGGGAGGGTGGGTGTGTGTGTGTGTGCGTGTGTGTGTACCTGGAGTTCTCACATTGTCAACTGTAATGACTATTATCTTGTGGCATAACAAACCAATTCGATGAGCATTTTCAACTGTCTATTCACCAGCTCAGGCACCTGATGGTTACAGTCTTCTGGGGCAGACTAGTTAATTCCATCTTTCCATGGGCAAAAACAGCATCTGACAAATGAAGTGAGGTGCTCTCCTCTGAGGAACAATGGGTTTGCTATCCCTCTGCCAGTGGAAGGAGGACAGCCAATTGTAATAAGCCATAATTAATGTCAGTGGCACAAACAGCAGGGGGATTCATTTTCAATCTGCGCCTCAAAGTGTTCTCCACGCCGTGTGACTTGCTTCTCTCCAACTCTTTCCTCTTTGACAAGTAAGAGAATTTGCATAAAAGCCTCAAACCAACACGTACACGCGCCACTTCAGACACTTACATCTCTGTGGATCTTTTCCTCCAGATCTTGGTTGATCCTCTGCAGCGCCGAGTAGCTGCTTTGTATTCTAAACAACAAAAAAATTTAAAATAAAAAAAATGATAAGGAAAACATTGCTCTGCTAGTAGCTAATAGCTTGTGTAGATGCACACTGAATCTACTGTACAGAAGCCAAAGATTTACAAAAAGGCTAATCTCCAGGCAAGTCAAATCTAAGTCATCCTACTTGCAACAGTTCACTGAACTTTGTGTAGAAATGCTAAAAGATGAATGTTTATCACTAAATAGGTTCCTAGATTCAAAGATGTGGACAGATTTATTTGCAACCATCGTGAACATGTGTAAAACATCAGTATCACAATTTATTTAGCAGAGAAAACGTATACTGAGGCAACTTAGAACTGAAAAATTCTGCAATCTTTAAACCCACCCCCATTTTGATCATGTTAAACCAAAGTTTGAACAACTTAAGACTTAACAGAAAAACAAAAACAAAATCTGCATGGTGTAAAACCCAAGGTAACACCAAATATTTAGTGGTAATATTTGATTGTTTATTTTCCTTTCCCTGTCTGTGAAAGTTGTTTTTTTTTTCTTTAAAAGTAGCAAAGAGGAACGAAGCATTGATTATTTGGATTTGTTTAGTTTTTACTGTCATGTCACATGCGTGCCAAAATGGGATTCTTGCTCGAGTTGAAGCATAACTTTTTTCCTTTACAAAATCCAAACAAATTCAATCATCTGGAAATCTGGAGCTCTTCCAACACTGACAAGAACAATTAAGCAATAATATCTGCCGAAGTGTCATTCTTTTCCTCCCCAGTATCCAAAGTATGATTGGTGTGAAGCATGTGGCGATTCATGATGGGTGATTCCACCTGCGAAGCTTGTCTGTGAACTTGTCCAGCTCCTCCTGTGCTCGGCGCAGCTCCGTCTCCAGGTACTGCCTGGTGGAGTCGAACTCGCTCTGCAGCAGCTCCAGCTTGTGTGTTGTGTAGGAAAGTCTCTTCCGCAAGTCCTCCTTCTGTTCCAGCAAAGAGCTACACACACACACGCGCACCACACACACACACACACACACACACACACACACACACACACACACACACACACACACACACACACACACAACAGGTGAGTTTAGAGCATACGGTGAAGAAACAAGCTTGCTACATGGGGTCTTTGCTCTGCTAAATTGATGCATAATGGTCCACGTTTTCTTTTAATGGCCATGCAGCATTGATTGGGACATTGAGAGGATGGGAAAACACGAACCCAAAATTCAGTCAGCATGTATGGATGCAGTGTTTTCTAATTCATTAGATGACAGAGGGTAACCTGGCACATCACAGAAGAGCAGTCACTGGTGAGAATGGTCACATGGAAACAACAGAGGCGTAATGTGTAATGAGAAATGAGTCAATGAGTTCTAATAGATTATTTGAATAGACCCTGATGGCTCAGATTTACAAAACAGTAATATCCTCAACATGTAATTTAGCAAGACAACACAATGATGGCTATTTTTGGAGCATATGCATTACCTGAGTTTCAATCTAATAAAAGGGCAAGTGTGAGCGGCAATAGAGAAAATGTCCATTGCCATGATGGATCTGAGTGCTCACTGCTCGGCTTAATGGACCTGAGTATTGACGGACAGATGGAGGAAGAAAGGTAATGACTCTATCTGCAGCCAGATAACATAGCTGGAAATGAATGAAGATGTGGTCACTTTGCTCTTTTCACTTTCTCTGTTTCCCTCCATTTCTCTCTTTTAACAAGATTGTAGATGCAAAGGGTGGATGATGAGCCAGACAAAAAAAAAGGAAAAACAAAAACAAAGCTGAGACAGGTTCGTTCATTTATTATTTTCAGGTCAGAGGAGACTTCACCCCGTTTCCAGCTCATTAGCAAGCGGCATAATGTTTCTGCAATCAGTTGGATGAAAAGTAGCCAGAGTAAATCTAGACTTTATGAAAAACTTAATTTGCTTTATTTGAAAAGATCAGTTTTTCTATAACTGCGTATCGTCCTGTTTCAATCTCAGGCTTTGCGAGCCAATTTCTACACTCACAGAAAATGTTGCAGCATTGGATTGCAGAAAAATCTAATTATTTATTAAGCACAAATGTTATACAGATCTTGTTTTCATGTGATAATTACCATACAGTTACTTATTGGCCAGCATTGTGAGTAAAGTGGTGGATTTTAAAGGGATAATACAGAAATAACTGAGAAACTTTGAAGTGGAGCTTAACTTTAACTAAAATAAAAACCACTTATATCTCAAAATAAAACAGTGATCATTAAAGCTATAAATAGATATAGAAAACTATGTGCCACTGAAGATCTCTGTGTGAAACTAAATCACCCTACTAAGTTGCTACGGAAAGTTTAAAAAGTAACACAAAGTCTAGAATCCATAAAATATTATTATTTTGGCCTTTTCCACCAAAGATTTCAGTACATCAAATATAAGACCACTTGACATATTTTTAAATCCCTTGTGATCCACATCTGAGATGTAGATGAATTATTAAATGCAGTTTAGGGAAAACAGCTAAAAAAGTTTATTTTTTCTTTCTTTAAAAGGACAAAAATCCTGCTTTAGGAGCAGCATTCTCATGGGGGTTTGCAGGCACAAACTAGAAAAACACCCAAACTCTACAGTCAATACACTAAAAAGCATGTCTGAGAGACATTACAGAAAATCCTGCATATTCAGTTTTTTAAGGCTTAAAATTATGACTCAAATTAATAGCTCCTGTTTGGCTTCTTGTTAGCTTCAGTGTCTGGGATCATTTAATCCTCGTGTATTTGGTGAAGATAGGATAATAGCTGCTTAATCCCCAATTATCTAGTGAACTGCTTATAGGCTTCCAACAGAACCTCACTTCACTGCAAAAATTCTGAACTATCACTTTAAATATTGTCTTTAAAGGGTTGAGTTAAGCAGTTACAAAGACATAATGTGTATTTGTTAACATTTTTTTTTTTTGGTCAGGTCCATTCATTTAGAATTTACATCGATCAAGCTTCTGCCCTATTATTTTTTAACTTAGTATTAAGGATGAAAGTTTTATTTTTTTTAATTATTTAATTTTTATGCATGTTGTACTTGCTGCATTGACAAAATAGTCACATCAAATTTTAAAAGACAGTCGTAGATAAAAATTGCAAATGCAAACACTTTGTGTAATCTTGCTTTGACCCATAGTCTGCAAATTCAGGAAATAACCCAAGAAATTTAACAGTAATTCAACTTCTGAACAAATCTACGTCTCTAGAGTTTCAATGTCTTATCAGTTCTATATAATGAATAGCTAGAAATCAGATATCTGCTGTTTCTCGAGTGAAAACATAAATCTTAATAAATAGTGTGTGTTTCACTTAAAGCTGCTGCCTTTGCAGCTTTGACAGCGATTGAAAAACGACCTGCATGCTGAATGATTCAGAGAAAGTCTCAGTAGACTGGATGACATTTAAGAGCTGCATTAGCCAGCGGAGCCCACCACCTCACCTCCTGCTTGGATCTGATCGGTGGGTTTTAGCTGGGGAATACAGGTGTTTGGTGTTAGGTACAGGGTGACTTTACATGAAGTATCTCCAGAGACAAAAAAAAAGGAGAGGAAAAAAAGAAAAGTCCCTCCATTAGTGACCTCCTCTGAGTCACACATAATGAGTGTTTTCATTCTGGTGAGATGAGATGACGAGGCAGCATGACTCCTGGGCCTGAAAGGCGGGATGAGGCTGCTTTAACACCACTGAACGACCAGAGGAGACACCTCGTGGGCGGGTGAGCGGACAAACATAAAAACAAGTACGGATGGAGAGATGGTGGCGCAGATTTACTCTTACCTCTTTTTTGGGTGTTTGCCACCATTTCGGGGGACTTTTAAGGCAGTTTTGCCAATGTATATCTTTTTCATGGTTTGTCTCTGTTCCTTCCCTCTCATGTGTTTATAGGGCCTGGCCACAGGAAGTTGGCATGCATGTGAGTTATCCAAGAGATCCCAGCTAAGTGTGGCCAGCAGAATTACTGTTTGTTATACCTGTCTTGATCCTGCCAACAAAAGCAAACAGACAGGTTGCCAGCTGTTAGTAACCACCAATAAGCTGGGATCTGATTTGAAAAGACAAACTGTTGCCTTGACGCTGCCAACATTTAGCAGCCACAGTCATCTTCCCATTCTTCAAAACAGAAAAAAACGGGCAAATTAGTGGAAAAAGTGTTTGCAAAATTTCACTTGACACAATGACATTGTAATGTTGCCAATGTATATTTGACATTTACAGTGGAAAAAAATACATAAAAAAAAACTAGCACAAAAAATTTAAGTTTTGGTGAGTACCAACATAATTGTTGGCTCTTTTGATGAAAGTGTGAAAGTCCTTAAATTCATATTATTTTGATTTTTTTTCTTTATTTCACTCCTTTAGTTTGAGCAATATCAATGGGAATTTTAACAAAGTATTCACCAGTCCTCCACCTCATTCAGTGGGGATGTTCCACGTATTTAACCTTTGTTTTACACCAGAACCACCAAAAGGTTAATTTAAAGGCTAAATCGTGTCAAAAATACATGTATTATTTTCTATCAAACAGCTTACTGACTGCAGTAAAGGGGTGCCATTTTCTGTTTTCCAGACTATAAAATAGGGTCATTTTATAACACAAACAAGTAACTATGTTTTACTTGAAAGGCTTAAAAGAAATTTGACTTCGTAATTTAACACCTTGAAATCGGGCCTCCATCTTTTCAAAAACTCCTGTTGTTTCTGAGACACCACTTTCTGGAAGTCATCACAACATCGCACCGTCATTACCAGGATTGCACTGAGAAGTAGCTAATACAATGAGCAGATACACAGTTCCACTGAGTGTTTGCTAATTGCTGATCACTAGTCTGAAGGAGCTTAGTGAGGAAGTAGAGAGAAAGGTACTTTGCGAGACGGAAGCTTGGAAACTGCAGCTCCGACAAAGACCAATATTACATCACATATTGGACAAAATATTAATATATTGAAAAAGGGAGAATTTGACAAATATTAGGAAACTGAAACAGAAAAAAGGAATTACTGTGTGCCGAAGTCCACAAGTATAAAAGGAGTGATTGCTGCAGTGTTTACAGCATTGCAGCTGTGAAGGGACCGAAACTAAAGAGATGAGGGAACTTCACTAATGACTGACGAATGAAACCAATGATAGACGACACCAGGGAATAAGAGAATAACATTGAGAAGGTAAATCTCCAATTATACACAAACAAACAATCTATTTTATGAACACAGAACTTTGGACAAAACTGAAAGTGACTTGAATAGTAACCCAAAAGCGTTTTTCTCGTCATGACACCTAAAGACGTGGTTGTCCAGCTTTGTCTGTCTTAAATCAAGTTCTTTTCATTGTTGCTCGTCCTGTAGATGTGGAATTGTTACGGCAACTATTTTATCTACGAGCTGCCTTCCTACGGCCAAATCCTGGCTTATTAAGTTCAGCACACAGCTGTCTGACTCTTATTTTGTCAATTTTGAAGAGTTGCTAAAAGAAAAGCACATGCATGTCATCTTTTTATCCAGTGGAAGCAGGAGGTCATGAATTAAGAATGAACTTCTCAACACTGTATATCTGCAACAATAGTTTTGTTAAACATAATTATCATGGATACTTTATATTGATCATAACAGGTCTTTAGCTGAAAATACTGTTTCAATACAATGTTTTCTGACAGTATCAGAAAACAAACTTGTTCCCTTATCCATAAGAGAAATAAAATTGTATTTATTTTGTTTATTAAAGTCCCTATTGACTAAGAAATGAGTAAACAAAAGCACCCAGACTCACAGTGTACAAGATAACAACAGAAATGTGCCCGGCACGTCTCCATATGACCAGTGTCTCAGATATTTTTTTTCTGAAATGGAAATATCTAACATCCAAATATTGATTTGAAGTTTTAAATTTCAATCATGCTGCAAATCTGCTGTAAATATGAACATTTTTATCATATTGTCCAATTACCAGATAAGGTAGAACAAT